TTGGGTGAGGCGATTTCTCAGTGTGCTGCGGTTACGCGCTCTAGCACCCAAGTTCCTTCAGGCAGCGAAATAAGTTACACGGCTGCCAACTCTACCAACTACAACAGCAAAGTAGACGCGGACATACCCGAGTAGCTTGAGGGCTAGCCGCCACTTTGTAGACCAAAAATAGTCCATGGGGGTTGGGCTGGGTGGATGGGAAAAATGGCGAATGCCAAGCCACCGACTAAGTGATTGCCTAACTCGTGTGCGCTGTTTAGCAAAACCCACGCAGTCGACTGGGCAAAACCGCAGTCAGCTGCGAATTCCAATTTGTGTGTAAAAACCAGGGCAAGGCAAGAAGGGAAAGGGGAGGGAGAGGTTGAGGAGGCGGCGGAGGAGGAGGAGAGGGTGTTTCGCAGGCATCATGCCCATCCCCACGGTGGCGCAAGCCGCGCCTGCGCAAACCTCTGTGCCCGTCCACACGTGCGCCGCACGCGTAACACAAGTCCTCCACTGATTGGCCAGCTGACTGCAGCCAATGACAATGGCAAGTCGTCCAGGGGGGCGGGGTTTGGTCAGAATTAGTCCGCTGCGTGGCGGTATAGTCAGCGCTTTCGCTGATAATAATATTGATCGGTCGGCAGAATGCCAGAAGTGGCAGTAACAACAGTAGCAGTGCGAGTCAAAACGCGGCAGCGGCGGCGATGGCGACTACGATGAAGGCGGGCGTGAGGCGCGGCAATACGCAGGTAAGCGCGGGGAGCAAAAGGTGTAAAGCCAACCAATCGAGGGGAGGTTTTGTACAGTGGCAACCCACTCGGGGAGTGGGGGACGAATATTGCGAGTGTAGATGGCACAGCGGTCCTGCAGCCTGCTTCCGAGCAGGTTGAAAAGATTCCGGCGAACAATAACCAGCGATACAACTCAGGGAAAGTCGTGCGGTCGGAAAAGGGACTATTAGAGGGCGTTGCATAGGGACTACTAAAAATTAATTGAGTAGCACAAAGTGACGAGAGGGAGTCGACAGGGGGTACAAGTTGTTTCTGAAGTGCCAACTCTGACTGATGTCCGTCGCACTGGCTATTTATCGCCCCAACACAAAAATCAGTCTTTAAACCTGAGGCAATGTTTGGGAATTTCAGTGTTGACTGGCAGTGACAAAGTCTACAGTTAGAAGTCGTCGAAAAGCGTGATAGGTCGGGTTCCGAGTCGCTCCATCATCAGTACTTCATTTGTGACTGATCTCCGCACAGTCAGAGGGGTGTAATGGAGGTAGCACTTTGGAGTCCTCATCGTTAAGTATGTCACGGTGGAAATTCGGCTCGGAGACGGTTGTGGGGCCTTCCTGCGATATCCTCGACCAGCATACAAGACAGTCCTTGTAAAGCACGGCAATGTCAGCCCAGGAAATGAACCACTTTGGTTTATTAAAAGCCTTGACGAAAGCGCCCTACGAAGCCTACGTTGTGGATGCTCTGTCCAACCTATGGAATCCACTGCCAATTTGTCTATTTTTGCTCATCGTATTTACATATTCGGCAGTTTGTTACTATCGTGCACCCGATTGCAACCTATGCACTCCTGGAAAACGAGAATCTCCAGTTCTTCCTTACGAAACCTTGGATCCCAGGTATGATCGGCAGCAGATACCTGTCCTAATACGCGGTTCGGGTTTGGAGTCGTTTCATGTCACCTCGTCAAAACTGGAGATCGTGTTGGAAAAATCACCGAAAGGCCCTTATTTACTGCTTTGAATTAAGGTAGATGCCATTAAAGAAAACGAAAACTCAACGACAGACCAATGTGGCCCGGGAAACTAATGAAACGCGATAACTTACGCCGAAGGAAGGCTCAACATATCATTGGATTTGCAAATAAATGAACGGCGGATTTGCAAGTTGGCTGACATGAAGGGTCCGACCTACTCTATGTTCTCCAACGCTTCTCAAAGTTTCTATCTCCCGAGGTTTTGCTATAGGTCCCAGAACGGTTATTCTGACAGAGTTCGTGACTTTGAGTGATTGCCATCTGGCCGTCATCGGTCTCGTCGAATACAAAAAGTACATAGTCCGCTGTGCGAAAGATGGTGGAACGTTGAACATGATTTTTACTTGATCTTACCGAAAGCCTGTAAAAAAAGTTGCATTTTGACAAGTATATTTTTTACTCGCGGCTTTCTGCACGTCCTCGACGGTGGACATTTTGAGGCTGGCGGAGTAAAAAGGTAGATCATAAATCGCACGAGCGGAAAAACATTCAGCAGCCCGAGTGCAAATTCAAAAATGATTCTGCCACGCCGTGGATAAAGACATTGGTGATCACCTGTTAAGGATGCCGAAGAAGGAAGTG